TCCGGCGCGGCGCAGCGACGACGCCCCTGCCAAATCCTGCCCGGGCCGCCAACCCTCCCACCGGCAGGGAGGCTGCTCTCCCCAATTAACCCCGCGCGGGGGGACCCTCGTCCGTCTGCGCACGTGCCCCCTCCCAGCCTCAAAACGCTCCATCTGCCTCCGTCGCCCCGCTGCCTGCCCGCGGGGGCCCGGCTGCCTGCACACCGGCGTCACTTACGCTCTCTTCGGGTAAATGTTTCCAGTTCTTTTGCAGTCGTAGATGGTGAAATTGGCCCGGATAATGTTTTTGCTGTTGACCCGGAGAGCCGTTTCAACGACCACGTGGTCTGAGAGAATCAAGCCAAAGAATATTGGGTTGCAAGAGCCTCTCGCTCACGCTCACGCTTAGAGGACAAGACAGACCCTTGGGAAAACAAGGGCTAAATCTGATTTGTTTTCTCTAGGGCTTCCTCTGAGCTGCATTTCAGAGCTTGGACCATTCATCTTTTGCCCTCTGACTTTAAGCTCTTCCCTCTTAAATCAACGCTTTACATCACCCTCACCAGAAAAGAACATTGCGACTTTCAGCAGAAAATTCCAGCGTGTTGTGCAAGTGTTAATTAGCAGAGTTAATTATTGTCTTCGCTTACAGTTGGTGCTAAATGATATTTTTAAAAAAAAAGTGGTAATTAAAACATGTTAGTTATCAAGTTTTAAAACCCCGCTCACTTTCCCCATGACAACAAACCCACAAAGAAGAGTGGAAATCCCTTTTTTGGCTACTTAACATGCTATACTAACTCCCCCTCCCCCCCAAAATTGCTTAATTTATTTTTTTTCTTTGCAATTTTGCCATATAAGCAACAGGGACAAGGGACAATGCTTCTTTCAGAATATGTACAATAAATCAGCGCATTGGATTCCAGAAATTCATTTGGACACTGCCGTAACCAACAATACAGAACAGCTAATGATCTCCCATTCTTTGGATAGCTAGGGAGAAAAACAATGCAGCTTTATAAACTTGCCTATGAAAAGTGGGATTTTCAAAAGGACTGGCTAATTCTTCTCCTACTGAAGTCAGTCATCTTCAATAGAGCATTCACTCCAGGCTTGAAAGATGAAGATTTAACAAGCACTCAAGTCTGGAATGAAGCATCCAACTTCTCAGAAGGAGCTATACAATGGGGCTGTCTCCATCGCTAAGTGGCCACTATCAGATTTGGGCAGCTCGGCCGTCAAGGCTCGGTTGGCTTTAACCAGATCTGCAGGTGCTTGTCACCTCCGGAACGCAGCTCCACCAAGCCTCGAGGTGGGCATCCTGTTTGGTGCCGTCTAAAAACAGGGGGATACTAGAAGACCTCAGTCTGGCTTTTAATTGCATAAATGAGACGGAGAGTTTCTGAGCTGCCTTTAAGTACGCACTTGCTCTTCCTCCAGAACTTCTCCTGAAAGGTAGAGCATGTTCGGGTGGGAAATTAAACAAAAGCAACTGAAAATATCAATATAAGTAGCAACATTATTTCCTCAGGGCTAAAGCATTTTTGTTTTAGTACTTATTAAATCCAAACCAGAAGCTCTAACCAGATAAATCTTAATAAAGTAAGTACATGAACTGGCTTTTAAAATCTGATGTTTAAAACAAAAATTGATAGAATTGAAATACTGTCAATTCATTTTAAGATGGTGGAACTCCCACGCTTTAAAGTCATATGCCCTATAAAGCAGAAGCAGCCTGGGTCTTTTTTCCCTGTATGCATTATCTGCACGTACAATTGGAGAAAGTAAAAAAAAGTCTATGAAAAATTATGTCCATAAAAGTGGTTAGAATGAACTGAGCTTGTTTTCCTCTACATACCTTGGTCATCTGGAAACATTGGGTATTTCTCACGTGGAAGTAAACGGCAATAAATAAATTGGTTTACGTAATCTCCAGCCACTCTGGCTACCGTGTGGATATTGTTTCCATAGTCACATGAAATATTTGTTCCATTCAGGTTTGGGATAGTCCCATTTATTTGTATTATCAGGGCCTATATTTGGACAAAAAAATAATCAGTTATTATGACAGAAAATTATATTTAGAATTTGTCAATCTTTTACAGGCTTTTCATGAGCTAGTGACTCCAAACCAAGCTCACAGATAGACATTTTCTTTCATTTTATGCACTGTGAACTCTAAAAGCCCTCTGCATACAAAACCTTGCTTCAGGAGTAAGAGCTCCGTCACCGCGCACTCCAGCACCTGTAGCTGGTGCGTTACCAGCTGGCACGAAAACCCAGCCCAGGGCTTCCCTGGGAGACCACTCGGAGGGAGCAGGACGCAGGGGCTACGCCCTCCCCAGCTCCCCAGGCTGTCCCCAACCCACGCCGCTTGCACAAGCAGAAAATATCAACCCCTGCTTCTGAGCTCCTGAGCCTCCCAGCTTGCACCAGTCCGTACCAGGCACCAGTGACGGGAGGTGTGGAGCTGGTGCTGGGAGGGCTGCTGGGGACCGGCCGCAAGCCAGCGTGCTCCCCCAGCACACCAGGGCCGAGCGGGCTGGCTGCAGGGGTTTCTTTTTGCCACCAGCCTCCAAGGGGAAGGGACGGGAAGTTCTGCAGAAAGGGAATGCTTTTGAGGACGGCTACTCAGGAAAACGCGCAGCCCACGTGCTCGGCTGGCTTCCCCCACCATCAGCGGGGTGACTCCCTGGGAACCCTGGCCCACCACTCCTGCACAGCAGAAGGAGAGCCGGACTGGTGCTAGTGTCCCGTGGGATCGCTCTCCAGCTCTGGGCTGGGCTGTGCTCCAGCCGCTGCCTGTTTACGAGCGATTTCCCCATGTTGGGGCTGGTTGAGAACTTTGGCACAGAGGGATTTTTGCCACTGGGAGAAGGTCTGTCTTTAAAGGAAAGATATTTTGATGAAAACATTTAAAATATAATTAAAATATTGTTAAAAATAGCAACTATCCAAAACCAGAAAATGAGTTGATTTAGCTGTCTGCATCTGGTCTTCTGTATTTTGAAATGTTGCAAATCTCTCCAGTGTGTTTAGTGTGGCAGCTCTAGAAGTCCTGTTCACCTCCAGGCTCAGCAGCCGGCGTCCCGCTGTCCTGCTGGCTGCTCGGTGCCAGGGCGCAGGAGGTCGCCTCCCGGCACCTTTGGGAGCCTTGGCCTGACTCGGTAGCGTACAACAGAGCTCAGCATCCCCACGACCCATAACTGCGCCACATGGAGCCACGCTGCAACACTACAGGAGCACGGATATTTATCAGCCCTGAGAGCAGGTAACAACTCTGCGGGATTCTGCACATGATTAATTTGGTATTCACATCCAACGCACCGGGTTCTCTTTGTCGATATTAATCTCAGGCTCCAAGATCGTCATGGAAGGGCACTGCTGCACTCCTTCACTTGCACTTGCCCAGAAGTTGGCCCCTGTGAAGTTTGTGCACTCATGCTGCAGAGAACACCTGCAATGTACAAGGGAACAATTCATGGTTGATTATTTTTAAAACAGGTGATAATAACGTTGCCTGCCTGTGAGGGAAGAGCCTGAGAAAATCCTGTGACTACATCTTTTTCCTCCATCCATGGAGCTAAGCCTAAAGCTTTGCTGCTATATTTAAAGTGTCTGCTTGCCACGATAAGAGCGCATACTCCCACCAGCATCAACAGAGCATCAGGATTCGGGGTGAGTGAGAGCAGGCCAGGCTGAACCCAGAACCAAGGAGGAGAAGGTGATGTTTTGTCCGACTTCTTCAATTTGTAAATGCCGAGTCTAATTTTGTAAATCCCTTTTTGAATGTTGATTGTCTCCTACTCATAAACAATTACAAGGGCAAAAGACGACCTTTACCAGGGTGTTGGCTCTCTCAGTCCCATGGGTGGATGCCTGCAAGATATTCTTTGCACTTGCAGCTGACTGCAGCATAATAATGCAGCTACAGTTAAATCCTGGCTCTGAAGAGCATCCCAACTGTGTTAGATCAGATGCAACTGTTTTTAAAAGTACGTATTTTGTAAGGAATGGACAAAGACTAATGGTAGTGTGACTGTGTGGAAATATAAAAGGCACCAGAAATTCTTGCCTGGGCTTGAGGGCCAAAGCGCACCAGGACACAACCAGCCCTACCTGGTCTCCATCGTGCACCACCCGCAGTATGCGTCAGCAGCGGCCAGGCACTCTGTGCACGTCGAGTACTGGTTGCAGGCAGCCACCTTCACCCGCGTCATCTGCACGACAACAGCACAACTGCTTCCAAATGTTTTACCATACCACAGAAACACTCAACCCAACCAGGACATGCCAGTATGGCCACGCGTAGCCACACCAGGCTGCTTTACCCATTAGTCTGGACCAAGTCTTACAGAACGGACGATAAGGAGCAGACCCTGGCACCGCCGTCCTCTGCCCCACACCACTCAGAGGTGGATGCTTTGTGTACGACCAGCCTGCACAGGGACCGGCACAGGCAGCTGCCCACTGCCCTGCCGGTGCCCCCAGCAGAGCCCATCCCAGCCTGGGGGCTGCGTGCCCCAGGGCAGGTAAGGATGCCCAAGGGACGGGGCTTGCTGCCACTGGCAGAGCCGCCCTGTGGGGTGCACGGCAGCACTGAGCTGAGCTGCTCCTTTTCAGCTGGCACCTTGGCAATAGATGTGTGATGGTCAGGCTACGGAGAGCGACACTGCACCTTTCCAATGTGTCAGATGGAGATGGTTTCACAGCTTGTCCCTCCCTGTGAAAAGCTCTCACTCAGACCTGCAGAAAGCGCCTTTCTAGACAGAGCTGAATGCTATCTGGCTATTCACAAAATGACCAGAAAGCAAAACCACTCTGGAAACCTTAATTTGTAAAGAAATCAAAGTACCTCTGGGGACTTAAAAAATTGGAGGGAAAGCATGTGTTTGTTTCTGCTCTTTCCTCCCTCAATTTCTAAATGTTTGGGAAGGAAAACTAAGTCGTTTGGTACAGTGGGGACTGACAACATGAGGTGCTGAGACCCCTGAGTTCCCACCAGGCGAGCGCACCTCGGACCATGGGCTCCTTGGCCTGACCCCTGCTTTACCTGCAGCACTTCGCTGCTCCCCAGCCCTGTGGTGCTCAGCGCCCCCCTGTCCCCAACCTCATCGAGCTCCTGGGGAGCTTCCCAGGATGCTAATTCCACCAAAGATAACTCATCTGGTTTACTGGAAAAGAAGCAGACAGAGGAGAGCATCACAAGTGCTGCACCACATGTTTGATCAATCCCAAATAAGGTGCACAGCCCAGCCTGGGAGCTGAGATGAGACAGTCTGAAACATCGGCTAAAGAGGCATCCCAGGAGGGCTCTGTGAAGTGATAATGACCAACCTGCAGGGAATTAGGGCTTGGAAAATATAAATGCAACATATAACATTTGTGGTTGTGTATCTGTTTTGACAGATTAAAATGTAATTCAGGACAAACCACCAGCGCCTGGAGCGCTCAGTCCTCATCTTCCTTCTCTGCTCACTTGACGGAGATGAGACCGTCTGTTTCTACCTGCTGCGGCGTTCCCAGTCTCCGCAGAGAGTCCTCCTCCCATCCAGCCCCCCTGCCCGCCAGGCTGAGCAGCAGCTTCCCCCAAGGACCATTTCTGACAGGCAGACTTTCTGTCTGTAGCATGTCCTAAAAGCCTTCTTAGAGACTGTGTACCATTATTTTCGGGTTTCTATTCAGGAGCAACCTCTGCTTATTTCTGCGCTCCTGTGAGTGGGTCGGTTTTGACATCTTTCACTCTTCTCTCTACCTTGCCACCACAAAGACGAGAAGACCTGACCCCCACCCCGCACGGGAGAATGGACAGGCACAGGTATCCCCCCCCCCGGAAAGCCCTCTGACACCCCAGCCAAAGCTCTGAACTTCTTGGCTCTGCCCATTAATATTAAAGCACATTTTATTGTCCCTTCTGGCTCCCAGCTTAGCGCTGGACGCTAAATCAAATGCATGATGCTCAAAGCGCTGTTTTGCTGAAGACTAAAGGTCTCACCTGATAAGAGGTCATCAGATAGAGGTATGTGGAATCAGAAGGGTCGAACTGCATGACAGGGTGGACAGGCTCTCCATAAGCCACCGAAATGGATCTCCTGCTAATAACCTTCATGGTACTGTCCAGATTAATCTGTAGTGAGAAGAAGCCACTCACTGAGACCATTTTTCAAACACTATGGGGAGAAGATTATTTCTCCTCAGTTATAAACAAGAACCAAAGTGGTATCTAACAGTGTTCCACATTTTCAAGGGCTTCGCAAGCTGCACACACAGAACTTTACTGAAGAGCCAGCTCTGTGCCACAGGGAACCCACTCAGTGGTCCAGAGAGCCCAGGCCACGGCCAGGAGCCCTGCTCAGTGATGAACAACCCTCGCAGCCCTTGGTCCCTCTGTTTAAAGCCCTCTGCTTGAGAGGCTGCCTGGAAAACTTCTAGTCTAAGGCTGTACCCACTGCACGGCTGTTTCCAGCAGGCCACAGCAGTGTTACTCTCGCTTTACTCTCATGTAAGTGGCACCAGCCTTCAGCCCTCATTACACACATATGCGCGTTTCTGTTACAAAGAATGTTGCATTTCTAAAGCTTAATGAAAACCATTGAAAATCAGCAACAGGCCTGTACAGGATAGGATGGCATTCCCCGCTCCCTGCATATTTGAAAAGTTAGTGTTCTTATTCCCGGCCAAAAGAGGCTTTTATCCCTGCGAACTCCAGAAGACCACAGCAGCTGCCGCACGAGAGCCGAATCCTACCTTGCCTCATGAATCACCAGCTGAAGCGCTGGCAGTGATGGAAGAGGCTGCAAAGCATCAGCCTGCCTTTCAGATCTCAGAATGTCTTGGCATTTGACTTGAAAACTCAGCAAATTAAATGTGGCATTGCTGGGAGAAAATAACAATAGGGCTACACAATTTCGCGTGACAGTCACTTTTCAGCTTAAAACAGAAAGGGAGAGAGGAAAATTCCTACCTCCTTAATAGCAAGGGAAGGCAATAATTGTAAGGACCAAGTGTGCCTCTGCTCTCTAAAGTCTGGATTAATTAATTAACATAGGATTAATTAATTCTTACGCTAGAGCAGCACTGACACGTCCTAGTAAGATAGGACAAGCTCAAAGCAGAGGGCTTCCCTCTGCTAAGAACTGTGTGTAAGCACTGCAAGTTACTTTGTAGAAAAAGAAGGGAACTATCATTATCCCCATTTTAAAAGCTGGCTATCTACAAGCTAAATAATTAGCCTGGGATCACCCAAGATGTCCATGAACCGAATCCCAATGCCCTCCGCTTCAGCTTTGTGGCCGTCTTCTCTCCCTTCTTGCTGAGATTTTCTCTACGCCTGGCTGTTTCTGGGTGCCTGTCCCTAGGTGCCTCTGCCTCCCGGGCCCGTTTACCCTACGCTTCCAATGCGCAGACGCTTTCCCTGGATCTCGGTGAGCTGCGGGCCCCGGGGCAGAGCCAGCGCAGCAGCACAGAGGGGCAGAGACCACCAGTCCTCTCGCCGGAGCAGGGCCAGGACGTGCTGGAGGAGCCGTGCTGCACTGGTGCTGGCGAGAGCAGGGTGGGCTGAAGCTCTGGGTAACCCCACCGCAGCACCTTGCCCGTGGACTTCCAGACCTGGACACAGGGGCACTGGCCAGAACAGACCCTTCCCACCCCCCAGCTCCTTCGAGAACATCGCACCCTGGCACACCTTGCCCTGGCCAAGCGCTGTTTTTCCTTTAATGACTGCTGGACGTGGCACTGATAATGGCCCTCGCGAAATGCCCGTCTGCAGCCTATCTGATTAATTCCCCATACATACCTCTGGCAGCCATAATTGCTGCTGGCAGGAGCTGGTCGAACACTATTTCTGCCCCTTTGCTGTCTTTTCTCAGGCAGCAAATCTGAATGATAACTCGCGCAAAGTATCTTGTATCCCGTGCCAAATAACAAGGAGCCCCGAAGGTAAAAGGGCTTCTGGTTATGCAGCTGTGTTACAGAATTAGATTAGAGCTATCTGAGCAAATTACCCCAGCAAAGGGTAGCCAGGAGCCTTTCCCTAATGGAGGCTCAGCAGATAAGGCTGCTTTCTCTGAGATGATAATGGGAGCAGAGCTGTTAATACTGTGTGAACATGGGCCGCGCTGCGTGTGGCATGTGCCTCTCCAGCCCGGTGCACCTGGCCGGGTTGCCAGCTTCCTCCCACCCTCCTGAATTACCTGCCCCTGCGGGCAAAAATCAAAGCAGCGAGTTTCTTTGTGATTGTTCCCACATATCTGCCAGGAGCACTTGGACACAAGGGAAGAGATTGGATCAGTTTTCTTCTCTCCAAGCATTTTGATGCAGTATTCCATATTATGCACCACTCACCCCAGGCTGAGAAAAAGCAGGTATCAGCTGTGTCTCTGCTCCAGGGCTTTTTTCCCCCTCTCCTCTGTGGACTTTCAATGCTGAGAGTATACCAAACTGTTGTGGCTGGCTGGAATCAAAACTTTCTTTGGCAAACTTCAAGTGCTAAAGTTACTGAAACCTTGGCCTTGCTTCTTGGCTCTGGAGCCAGGGTATTGCACTGCCCTGCATTGCCTTTGGCACATTATTTAGAACAGATACTCCACCAGACGCATGGATTCACACCTGCTTTGGACTCAGCTGTGATGAAGCATCTCTCGGTGATTCCCCTGTCTACACGGAGCCTTCAAAAGCCATCAGCTCAGAGGGAGAATTTATTAGAAGGGCTGTTAATAATTAAATGCCGCACAATAACATTTCCAGCATAGGGTACATCAAGAACATCCTGCTCACATGGCAGCCTTGAACAGTAATTAACAGCCACCAGTCACCGGGCAGCATATATCGCTGCACAGATTACGGCAGCATCCAATTACTTCTGCATTGCCAAACGAAAGCAGGTGCTCAAACTCGACAACAGACCTTGCCCTCTCTGCAAACCTGAGGTGCTGGACGGGGAAGCCTCGCCGCCCTCCCTGTCCCTCCCAGCCCTGCCTCCCCCATGTCGGTGCTGCCGGGCTCCACTTGCCTTCAGGAGTCCTCCGCTGGCAGTGCCCAGGAACACAACGGTGTAGTTATTGACGCTGGCGACTGCCACTGCCGTCAGGCCGCTGTAGGTGAACACGGGGGATGCTGTGACAGGGTTCACGATGGCCAGTGGGTGCTGAAGGTGTGCCGCTCCACAGTCCAGCTGCTCCGGCTGCAGCTGCGGAGAGACATGCACGTCAACGGGCTGCAGCAAACACCAAAAAAACCTCGGGCTCAGTGTGCACAAACTGCTGATGGCCCTGCTGCACCCAGGGGAAGCTCCGCAGTACCGAGTCATGGAATAGGAAAATGTAACGGGTTAATAGGCGAACGAAGAGCTGTAATAGAGCCTTCTTTCTGCTTGCCAGATCTACCCTCAGAGCCAAATCCTCACCTCAACACAAAAGTCTGGTGCGATGGTAAAAGGGGAAAAGGGGGCTCCTTGCCTCCCTCTGCCACCGAAGCAGTCAGAGACCTCTTCTCCAGCACAGCGCTGGAAGCCCATCGCCAGCGGGAGCTGCGCCGCAGGGGAGGTTTCTCAGCCCGCTAAAGATGAGCCCTTCCCAGCGGCCACCTGCCCTTGCAGAGGGGGACACTCTGCCCACAGGAGGCTGGTCCCACACGCTGCCCCAGCACCATGACGGGTCCCCCTTCCCGCGATGGGTCCCCCTTCCCTCAATGGGTCCCTCTTCCCGCGGGTCAGTGCTCGGGAGCACGCAGAGCTGCACTCAGCTGGGGCAGCTGCAAGCCCAGGAGCCATTTCTGGCTCCTTCCTTTTCAAACAAAAGGTGAAGCAAAAAGCTTCTCCAATAAAAGAACTCAAAATATTATTTCCCTGCAAGTGAGAAAGTGACTGAGAACAGAGCCAAGGGGTGGGGGGGTGGG